CCAGAAATCCTGGCCAACACCAAAAGTTTTTGTTTTGTTTTAGTAGACATTTTACGGCGCTCGCAACTGCATAAGCGCCAGAAGATTTAGAGGTGTTACAAGAGAGTAACAAACATAAAAAAGAAGAAAGGGAAATAAGGACGATAGATGTTTGAGCGGAAAGAAGAAGCAGACAACACCAGAGCACCCGCCAAACACCCACTCACACCAAAAGTGGGCATTGCCCTGCATAGAGGAGTAGTTTGGGTTCATTGGTGTGTATATATTAGTTTGATTATGGAGAAAACTCTCCTTGTCTTTTAAAGAAACTGAACAAGGGTCCCAAAACTTTACCTTCGATTTTCTCAAAACAGCATTTTCGGGATAGCCCCCTTGTGCTTAAAAGCGACCATTTAGGAGACAGGTTAAATCGGCACTGCCTTCCAAGGCCAGCCCATGCCGAGAGGGCCTTAACGTCACAGCAGAGAACAGCGCCTCATGACTGTCTTCATTACACATATTCTGCAAAATGGGACATAGGTACACTAGATCCAATAACAGATCAGCAGAATGTTTGCTAAAAGTTAAGGCTATGCATGCTCACCTTCCTAACATGAGCCTCAAACTTGTTCGTGGGTGATACTTCTCCATCAGACTGATAAGGTCAAGGATGTTTGGGAAAATTGTAGAAATCAAGGTCATGATTACCGTCAACTGAAACAAGGGAATTGGCAATCACCAATAATGTTTTACCTACGATATTATATTGCCACTTGTAAGCAAGCAAGCAAACAAGCAAGAAAGCAATCAAGCAAACAAGTACCTGTATTGCATTGTAGGCGACATATCTTACAAAAAATACCAAACTGTTATTATGTTCTCTGTCGAAAGGCATTTAGCTGTCGGCAGCAAAATAGGGGAAATGTGTCATAAATTATACTCTCATAGTAACGGTTAGGCCAATAGACAATTGTCACAATTCAAGTCCAAATCATGAGACTTTGTTTGTCTAAGGACAATGTGTTAAATTAGAAAAGAGTGTGAGTGGACGCTCATCTCTCTCTCTCTCTCTCTCTCTCTCTCTCTCT